CAGCCATGACCTTCACCTTTACCCTCTCTTCTACACACCCTTCAAATATCCATCAAATATCACCATGGCTGGGAAGGCTTCTCAGAAGCCCCGGCTGCCTCGGAGCCTTCTGTCATGCACTTTACCGCATCTGCGCTGGTCATTCAGAGCTCAGTCAAGTTTTCAAAGTATATCTTTACCTGTGTTATTATTTGATTACTATCTTTTCTCTACTATTAGACTGTAAGTTCTCTGATGGCCAGTTATGTCTGTTTTGATCATGGCTTTATTCTCAGCACCTACAGGGTACCTGACACATAGTAGACATTTAATATATATTTCTTGTATTACTAAGTGATTAATTGGCTATGTAAATAAATGAATGATTTCATTTGAATTGAACTGAGTTAAATTGAATAGAGATATATGATTGGATGTTATTGCCAAGACTCATTCATCTATCTATTTATCTATATCTATATATATATATTTTTTTATTATTATTATTTTTTTTTGAGACACAGTCTCAAGCTGTCACCATGGGTAGAATGCCATGACATCATAGCTCACAGCAACCTCCAACTCTTGAGCTCAAGCGATCCTTTTGCCTTAGTTTTTCTATTTTTAGTAGAGACGGGTCTTACTTTTGCTCAGGCTGGTCTCGAACTCATGAGCTCAAGCTATCTGCCCACCTTGGCCTCCCAGAATGCTAGGATTACAAGCATGAGCCACAGCTCCCAGCCACTCAGTCACCTATTTTTGAAACATATACAGTTGTCAATATAATTCAAAACTTCTAAAGAATTAAAAACATTCTTCATTATTTTTTAGCCTATAATGAATTCTATCATTAAAAAAGTATGTTTAAGCATTCCATGTACTCAATACTAATTTGAAACTATCAGATGAACAACTACAGTCCCACACGAAAGAAAAACACAATTAAATTCAAGGAGGGGGGAGGGAGGTGGGGAGGAGGGCTGTAAGCTACCAGCTGACAGGTACAAGGTAGGAGTGTACAGTTCACCTCCCGGGTGAAGGACTCAGCTGTGCCTCACAACTGCGGATTCTACCTCACAGAAGCAAACAATGTAACCCAATCATAGGTGCCCTTATATTGATCTGAAATTTAAAAAAATTAAACATAAAAAAGAAAAATAAAGTATCCTTAATTTTATCATCTAAATCACTCTTGAATATGTTTTTTATTTTAAATTAAACTGTAAACTTCCTGACCACATGTCCTTTTCATTCATTCGAGGCATCCTTGAAGTTCATAACAGAGGGTCTTGTGCATGATAGAATTACACGTGACAATGTAGCAATGCATTCACTCAACTTCCCTAAATTCTGGTACTTGGCTCTATTTAATGAAACTAACCATTTTTCTGGTTTCTCTTCTTTTCTTTCATTCTTTCTTTCCTTTTGTTTAAAATAAATTTATTTATTTATTTATTTTTGGGCCAGAGTCTCACTTTGTTGCTCTTGGTAGAGTGCCATGGATGTCATCACAGCTCACAGCAGCCCCAAGCTCTTGGGCTTTAGTGATTCTCTAGCCTCAACCTCCCAAGTAGCTGGGACTACAGGCGCTCACCACAATGCCTGGCTATGTTGTTGTTGTTGTTGTTGCTATTGTTGTTGTTGTTGTTTAGCAGGCCCAGGCTGGGTTTGAACAGCCACAGTGTATGTGGCTGGAGCCCTAACCACTCAGCAACAGGCACAGAGCCTCTTTTTATTTTTTATTTATTTTTTTATTTATTTTTTTTTTTTTTTTTTTTGGAGACAGAGTAAGACTGTCTCCTGAGCTAGAGTGCAGTGGCATCATCATAGCTCACTACACCCTCAAACTACTTGGCTCCAGCTATCCTCCTGCTTCAGCATCCCAGGTAGCTGGGACTACAGGTAAACACCAAGATGCTCAGCTAATTTTTCTATTTTTAGTCGAGCCAGGGGTCTTGCTTTTACTGGGTCTGGTCTCTAACTCCTGGCCTCAAGCCATCCTCTCTTCTCAGCCTCCCAGAGTGCTAGGCTTACCAGCATGCACCACGGTACCCAGCTGCTCTTACGGGGTCTGGTCTCTAACTTACTGGGGTCTTGCTCTTACTGGGTCTGGTCTCTAACTCCTGGCCTCAAGCCATCCTCTCTTCTCAGCCTCCCAGAGTGCTAGGCTTACCAGCATGAGCCACGGCACCCAGCTGCTCTTCATTACTGATTTTCTCTCAGAGACACAGTGAATTAACTTTTACTTATATTTGGGGATTTTATCTTTATCATAAGACTTTTTTATAGATTATATTTACTCCTGATTTTCTTTATTTGCTTTTTATTTTTCTGTGTTCTGATGCTTTTATCTTTCTTGTTTATTCAATTGTTTAGGACTTGATTATAATTAAATATGACCATTTAAGTTTGGATTTTCTTATTGCTGCCTCAGGAGATTTTTTTTTTTTAAGGGATAGGATATGTTAGGGCACTATTTAAAGGAGCATAATATTTTAATTAGTTTTCCATGTTTAATTTATATTTTGTTTCTCTCAATATGAAATTCTAGTATAAACTAATACTTTGTGGTTTTCTGAAAATGGGAGGAAATACTAGTTGTAATAATTTAAGTTTTCTGAAGCTTTTATCAATTTCATTTTCCAAATTCCTTATTAGCTACATCAAGGTACATCAAGATTTTGCTCTGCATTTAGTCCTACGTGCTCAGTTTTCAATATGATGTAACATGTATGAAGGGAAAAGAAAAAGATGTTATGCCCAGGGCCAATTTGCTCCAAAATAAAATGATTCCATTGTCCCAAATATTTATAAAGTAGCTCAATTTACTAACGGCTATCACTATACTTCCAAATAGGTTTACTATGTATTATCAGTTGATTCTTGTCTTAAAAAAACAACTTCTTTTTACTATTCTATATTATAGAATATATTAACTTTTTAAGTTTATCTTTTGAAAAATGTTGTTTAGGGCACTCATAGCTCAGTAGTTAGGGCACTGGCCACATGCTCCAGGGCTGGTGGGTTCAAACCTGGCCATGGCCTGCTAAACAAACAAACAAACAAAAATAGCTGGGCATTGTGGCAGGCACTCGTAGTCCTAGGTACTAAGGCCAAAGAATCACATGAGCCCAAGAGTTCCAAGTTGCTGTGAGTTATGATGCCACACACTCTACCAAGGGGTGACAAAGTGAAACTCTGTCTCAATAAAATAAAACATAAATAAGTAAATAAAAGAAAAATGTTGTTTAAAAAGTAAGGTGAAGTGGCTGGCAGATCATGAGAACCAGGTCAAAGCAGCATCTCACAAAAGCCCTTTCACCCACTCAAAGTCAACCTGCATGCATTCCCTGACAGAAGAGGGAAGTCAAAGTGTCTAGCACAGGAAATCTAGCAGGCAACAAGAATCCTGCACAGCTGGACTACAGCAGAAGGAAAGCACACAACTGGCTGTAACGGAACATCTTCCCACAGACGAATAACTGTGAATCCCAATCAAGGCAGCTCTGTCTTGTAGACTGGAGGCCATTTTGAGGAGTGGGCTCATGGGAGTATCACTAATCCTCCAACTCACAACAGCAGACTTAGTGTCCTAGCATTGCACCTAGACAGCTCTGACTCAGACATAATAAATTTATTTATTGCATTTCAGGCTGATTAAAATAAGTTTGCAGTAGCAATTTCATGGAATTTCAAACTAACCAAACTAAAACAAAAGGAAATCCTAAAATGCCATTTTTCTTAACTACTGAGCAGGAAGCAAGGCCAATTCTCGATTTATCATAGTGCTCAGTATATTCATTATACTCCACAAAGCCAAATAATAGACATCTTTGTAATTATTTCACATAACAAATATTGTCCACATGCATAATACTTCACTAAAAAGAAGAAAGATACTTTTTCCTTTTGCTTCTTGTCCAAATCAGTAAATATTTACTAAATACCTACAATGTATAGGACACTTTGCTAATTGTTGAATTTAGGTTGAGGATAGGAAATATTTATGGTTATCATTGTACCTTTTAAATATTTTAAAATATTTTTATCATGAATTTTTTTTCAGTTAAACACAACCTAGATTATTTTTCTTAAACATTATCTTATAAATATGGGGTTTGGGGAGTGGTGAGGGGGGCGGGGGGATTGTTTGGGGTTTTTTTTTTTTTGAGACAGGGTCTTACTTTGGCATCCACCACAACCCATGGCTATATTTTAGAGACAGGGTCTTGCTCTCATTCTTGCTCAGGCTGGTCTTGAACTCCTGACCTCAAGCAATCTACCCGCCTCAGCCTCCCAGAGTGCTGGGATTACAGGCATGAGCCACAGGACGCAGCCAGAAACATGTTCTTTTTATAAGTGACCAAATGAAAACCTGCAATATCTTTTCCTTTCTCCTAGGGGAAAAAAGCATTTTTTCTTCTTTGTGGAGAAGACACACTCTTTCTATTCTGGAGATACTCACTCATACCATGTTCTAATGGATGTATCTCCAATTTTAAAGTGTTTGATTATGTCAAAGTCACGAGTACATTTACTGAATGGTACCCTGCTGGCTATTTCCTTCTCAAACTGCATTAATAACACTTCCATCCATCAGGAAGATAGCTAGGAAAACAGAAACTGCTCTAGTTATTGCAATCAGACAAGTCAAGGAATTCTTAGGAAACTGGCTCAGAGGCTGGGGCAAAACCTCATAGCTACAGAAACCCACCTGCCTGCCTGCTGCTGCGAGAGAAAGAAAACCATAGCTTCTAATTCTTTCCACCTTGCAGATCTTCACACAAACACATCTCGAAGAATTTTATCCAGGGTATGGCTGGCAGGCATTCTGGGAACATAGCTCCAGAGTGTCCGAACACCCCATATCAAGGTGAAGACAGAAGGCGAGGGGAATGATACTAAATTGCCATTGACAAAGGTAATATGTAAATAGGAAGTAGGATGGAAACAAATTCTTTTCCATTGGTATTGGTCAAAGAGTTTTAAGCTATTTTAACAGCTTAAACATCTTTTTTCCACATCGGATGGGTTATTTCCCCATGTCTGGTAACAAGGTTTGAGGGAGACATATCTCACATATGCACAGGAACATCCAATTATCGTGCATGTGAGCTACAAAAGGGTCCTAACAGCTCATCTGACAATTATTAAAGTGTACGACAATTATAATCCCACTTGGATCAAGGGTTTAAATTTTAATCCCTTAGATAAAAATCATACATTAAATTACATTTTTCTTATATATACACACTGTGGATTTCATCACTCAAGATTTATTCCTGTCTTTATACAAGTAATAGCCAAAATTGCCTTTCTTTATCTTTTTTTTTACATTTTTTAGACAGAGTCTCACTCTGTCTCCCAGGCTAGAGTGTGATGGCATCATAGCTCACTGCAACCTCAAACTTGTGGGCTCAAGCAGTCCTCCTGCCTTGGCCTACCAGAGTGCTAGGATTACATGGGTGAGTGACCATGCTTGGCCCCTTTCTTTATCTCTTATGATGACCTTCCCGTCAAATATATTTATCCTCCTTCCAAAAAAGAAGGAGAGGGTAAAAGGAGATAGACGTGGTTTAAAATAAAAAACACAGAACAATATACAATAAATCTGTTGTGAGTCAGCATCTTACTGGTAGTTTTACTTATATTTCATTCAGTCCTCACAACACTTCTGTGAATTTTATTTCCTAAATAAGTAGAAGTAAAGAGATTGAAGAATTTGCTAAAATTATACTAGAAATAAGTACTGCAAACTCAGATGCCCACAGTAAGGAAGAGGAATGAAGCAGCCCATGAGAGGTCCATGGCCAACAAAAGAGCTCACACCTGCCTAGAGTGAGAACCTGCCTGGGTGAGAACACTGGCACATTGTGTTTAGAGCTTCTGATTGTTCAAAAGAAGGAAATCCATATTCTCAGGTAAAGCTTCAATTTTTAAATGTTAGTACCTAATTTCAAAATAAACAAAAAACTAAAACCTTGTATAGATCAAATAAAAGACATCAACAGCCCATACATAGCCACCCATTTACAACCTCTGGGTTAGATGCCGTATGAGACTCCATCCAACTCCGGCATTCAGGGCTCAACCATGAGCCCATGAGCCTCATTCTCAAGGACTAGTATGTATCTATTTGCCTTTTAAAATTTTGCATATTAAGCAATACCTTAGAAATCCTTTTCCTGTAAATTATGTGTCTTTGATTTCCTTCATCAATCACTGTAGAGCTCTTAAAACTCTCCTAGAGTGATGATAGGAAATGACAATAAGAGGAAAAATGGGGACAGGATAAATTAGACCTGCAAATACAACAGACATTTACCAACATAACTGACATTCATCAATCTCTGAAGACTAAAGACTGCTCATTTTGTCTATTTTTACTAGCTGGAGAGAAAAGAATTAAAAAATTTTTGTAACACAAGAAGTGCTGACTTTCCCAAAACAATAATTATGAACAATCTTGGAAGAATAATATACCCAAAGCATACAGTTGTTTAAAGTCCGGTTTACTGTTACATGTAAAGTATCTCCTTACATTTGGGGAAATTTTTTTTGTTATCTCAGAATTTCTTATCAATGAATAATTGCTCCAAAGCTGCCATCACACCCTGTAAGATGACAGGAAAAAAAAAAATAACAGGATATGTGCCAAGAAGGCCTAAAAAGTAGCTGCAGCACTATCTTGCTTTGCAAGCAGTTTTAAACTATGAGTTGGATGCTGCCTTGGTGAAAAATATTAGACTTTTTCTCAAGAAATTTAACAAAAGAAGGAAATAATAGTGTAAGCTATTACATAACATTTCCACTTCCCACCAACTGGGCTACCTGTCTATGTTATTTCTGATCACCTAGGTCCTATCTGTGTGACTGGCCACCAGGGGAAATATTACACGTTTATCTGAATGTGAAGGTAGGAGAGGGCTCCCTGGGCTACTACTCTCTTTAAGTCTCTGTAATAGCGTTACATTCTCTTAGAAAATAGTTCAAACTAGAACCTGGGTGGATATTTAAGTTGGGATTTTCTCCGTAGTGTTGCTTTTTCAATAACATAGTAGAATATCTAATGGAACATAATGAAAAAGATTTTCAATAAAATCAACTATTCCAAAAAACAAGCATAAACCCCACCTGACAATGCTCTTTTTGCTTATGAGTTACCTTCCCAGAACAAGCACGTAGAGGGTATACGCAAGCACACTTACTTTTAGTTTCAGAACAAAGAACAAAAATCTAAAAAGGTAAAAATGAAAATGTGTGCTCTTCTACTGCAATGTGACTGAGAGTTATAAAGGCTCCGTGAACAATATTGAGTTTGCAGTAGCACAATCACATCACAAAAGATTTACCTTCACTCTGCAAACTCAATATAGGGCAATAACAGTCTATTACAAGCTGAGCAATACAACATCAAAGGAATGCTCAAAAGAACCAGACAGAACCTTTAAATCAACACAATCGAGTTATCTTCCCCCAGAGGAAGCACCATGGGAGAGTGCATAGCAGGGTTTTTCAAGAAGTATTACTAATTTACCATAAGTTACATTTAATACATTTTAAAACCGTAGTTTGTAATCTCACTTCACTTGTCAGAACACAGAGCAATAAATTAAAAGAGAAACAATCCCCAAAGAGCAAGAGACTGGGAGAAAGAAAAATGACAAGAGTTTTAATCCGTGAGGTTAACACTTCAAATAATCCTTCCACAACTGAAAATACTCTTTTCCTGATTTCAATAAGATTCTGCAAACATGAACTTAGAGAAATAATAGTAAAAATATAAAATTAATCCACATTAAAATCCTGTTAAAATAGCAATATTCATAATATTTTGAAAAAGAGTAGGCTCGGCACCTGTGGCTCAAGTGGCTAAGGCGCCAGCCACGTACACCCAAGGTGGCGTGGCAGGTTTGAATCCAGCCTGGGCCCGCCAAACAACAATGACAGCTGCAACCAAAAA